ATATGCTACCACACTCAGCTATATAGCTTTTATTGGTAAAACTCTCTTTTTCAGTTTTAGTTAGGATTTTTGTCTTTCTTCTTCAGTTGTAGTAGTACTTTCTCTAATTTGGAATACAAGTCCCTTATCAATATATGTTCTGCAAAATAAAATTTCTATCTTTCTGTGATTTGACTTGTCATGTTCTTGCTTGTCCTTTGAAGCACAAAGTTTAACATTTTGAGGATGTTCACCCTTTCGTACTTCTAAGAACCCTTGGGATGACATTCAACTAACCTAGATAATCCAAGATACTCTCTTGCTTTTAAAAGTCAGCTGGTAAGCAACCTTCATTCATCTGCAACATAAATTCTCCTTTGGCATGTAATCTAACATATTCACAGGTCAGGTATTAGATGTCTTTGTGAAGAGGAATTACTCTACCACCTACAACATTGTTTTTGTTATTCTTTAGGGCAAGACTTGCCCTCTAAAATTACTCATGGGCAGGGCTAGGGGACATGGGTTCACATGGGGCTCCTGAATGAGACTGTAGGTCACCTGTTGGGAAGAGGGTAACTCTGTAGCTTTCCCTGCCTTTTCCCCCAACCATGATTTTATTCCTTATGTTTGAATTCTAATACAGTCTGAAAAGGATACAATATATCAATATTAACTACACTAACCATCCTCAGGTGATTATGAGTAAAACACAAATGCTCAAAACGATTGAAAGAGAAGTATAGGCAGTGCAGAAGTATAGGCAGGGCAGAGTCCCCAAAAGTGACATCAGTGTTGCTATCTCTCCTTACCTCCCACTCACTGCAGTTAAAGTTAATTAATACCCAATTTCTTGGAATATAATTCTCTTATTACAGAAATCGCCTTATTAAAGTATATAACTCAGTGTTCTATAGGTATTCATAAAGTCATACAATCATCACCTTTATATCAGTGTCAAACATATCTATCATCCCCCAAGAAATCCTGGGCCATTGACTCTTTATTTCTGATCTGAGAATTGCTATTCTTTCTTTCTTGGTCAATTTGTCTATTCTGGGCGTTCCATAAACACAATCATGTAATATATGGCCATTTGTGCCAAGATTCTTTCACATGAGGCATGATTCATTCCTTTATATGTCAAATCATATTCTGTTGTCTTGATACACCACATTTTGTTTATCTGTTCATCTGTAGATGGTCATGTGGGCTATGAATGATATTGTTGTGAACATTCATGTACAAGTATTTACAGTTCTCTTGCATATATACTAGAGGTAGAAGTCTGAGTTATATGATAACTGTGTAGTTGACTCTTTGAGGAACATTCAAGCTCTTTCCCAAAGCAGCTGCATCATTACATTCCCAACAAAAGGGTTCCAGGATTCCCATTCTCCACGTTCTCACCAGCACATCTTGTGTCAGTCTTTTGGATTGTGGACATTCCAGTGGGCATGAAGTAGTGTCTTTGTGTGTGTTGATTCACCTTTCACTAATGACTCATGATAACTAAGCATCTTATGTGCTTTGTGCTTTTGTCCCCCTGACTTCACTGAAACCAACTCAAGCATTCAGCTGTTCAACCCTCTTGATGGCTTCTTCCCTCCTTCTGGAAATTCTTTTCTAGATTATTGGTACTCACCATCTCCTGTTTTCATAAACTTGAGTCCTACTTCTCTTCCTGAGCTTCAAATGTTGGAGTGTCCCATTGCTATTAACTCTTCCCCAAAACATCTTTATTCATGACAGTTATATCAACATGAAATTGAATTGTCTATTAATTTGTTTATTTTTTTGCATTAGTCACTGATGTGTAAGCTCTACAGGGGCAGATTTGTCTTGTTCATCAGAATTCCTGGTTCTAGAATAGCACTAAATATATTTGAATGAATGAACACTTGTAGAAAAACGTACATGTTTCATGGGGGGGAAAAAAAGCTGGGTTCTCCATAACAAATTACTGAAATATTGCATCAAATTTGAAAAAGTGTCTTTTGTGAGGGACTTCTCAGATACTTCACTGTGATAATGAACATCGTAAAATTTTATTTGAATGAAAACTTTTTCAGTATGAATGTATCATGAGACTTGCAAAATATTCTTCCGATTTCAGTAGCCAAGTTTCGATCCCTAGCAAAATTTTAAAACACTTTAATAAATGGATGGTTTGTTAGCACTTAGAAGGATAAGTTATGATCACCATGGATTAATATTAAAATTAATATCAACAGGGTATGGCAAATTATCCCCATGGATGCCATGCAGAATTCCATTCGGTTGGAAGGCCACGGCAACAGTATGTTCTCACAACACTGAGGCTTTGAGCTGGGTATGCCACATTCTCCCTGTTCTGAAAAGCTGAGTGGGTTGTCAGGATGGTGGGATCAGCCTGTCATTTAAGAATTACGTGAAGACATCAGGCTGAGTTGAGATATCTGCCCTTGAGGTATAAATCACCTACCCAGTGAGCTGTTTACTGTCTTTGGTGTCATGGTGAGTTTCAAGTAGTTACCAGTGATCAAGTGGCATTTCCAGAACTGGATGGTAACCGAGCCTAAAAAGAGAACTTTGAACACTAAACTGAGAAGACAAAAGTGAGGGGTGGGGGTGGAGGACAGGGATACTATGATTCTATGACATTCCCCTGAAGTGTGTTCATAGCCTGCCATATGTTAATGGTGATAAGTAACTACCATATCCCCAAAGATAGGCACTGGGATCCTCAGAGTGCGGGAAGCATTCAGAAATAGGTCTCCCTATAATTTGGAGGAGGATGGGCAGGTAAAACAGGGAGTGATGTTGGTGCCCATATTGATACCCTTGGCAGGAGTGGGGTTAGGAATCAGATGGATGGTCTTAGCCATTGTTTCTCAGTTAGTGGCCCTTAACCAGTGGTACCAGCATCACCTCGTACCATGTTAGAAATGTAAATTTTGGGGTCCTACCAATGTGTATTTTAACAATCCTGAGGCATGATTTGAAGTTTGAGAACTTATAGTGAAAGCAACAGAAACAAACTTTGGTCAAAAGAGATGCTTTAACAATGTGCCATTCAAAAAGCCTTTAAAATATCTTTACTGCTGGTAAGAGAATTAGTTCTTGTATCTGATCTCTGCTTGGTTTTAAGATTTTTAAAAAATACATTTTTTGGAATAGTAAAAGTAATCATGCTGTACCTGTACACTTAGAAGATCTGCTTCTCTTAATAATTCTGCAAGGCAGGAACTATTGCAGTTCTCATTATAGACAAGGATGGTGGGACATAGGTCTTCTGTGGCAAGCTCACATAGCTAGTTACGTGGTAGGTTCGTCTACACTGAATGTATTGTACTTTTTGATAAGTGGCTATTAAGTGATCAGTGTCCTTAGTTAGGCAGTTTGACTGCAGAACACTGGTTTGGAAAATGGGAGGCTGGGGGGACCAGAGGGAGAAAGAAGGAAAGTGGGAAAAGAAGAAAGGATACAACAGCAGGTTTTAGAAGCAGAAATCAAGTGAAGGCTCTAAGTGTGGGCTATCTCCTTCTTTTTTGGCACTTTCCTGGTCTTTCCATCATCCAGTCCGTGGATTCCAATTAGTTTCTGATTGGAGTCTGGGCCCACACTGCCTGGCTTTCTCTGAAGAAGTTGGTTCCTGGGTAGTTTGTGATTTATTTTTCCTTACTTGTTTTTCCTCCCTCTGCCCCTATGCTCCCATAGTCTCTGTAACATAAGTAGACACTCATCCCAGTTGCTGAGGGATCCCATGACTGGCTTTATCACTGACTGGAGAATATTGTGGCAGAAGCATGTCTTAAAACCAAGCAGAGGGGCTGCGTGCCAGGGGCTGGTGTGAAGTTCTTCTCTGCTTCATTCACCTTGGAGTGCCTTGCTCTGTGCCTCTGCTTTAATAGCATATCATTTTCCCTTCCTTTTACACAAAACCACTGGGACACTTAATCTTAGTTCTCTGGAGGTCTTTTGGAGTTTCACAGCCCGATCGTAGTAATCAAGAAAGGGTAGGCGTGATCAGGGATGAGGTTTGATTCTTTGACTGCCTTTCCAGATTTAGGCTTTTAATTTTCACATTCCTCTCCATGGTTTGTAATAAATGTGGGAACATAACTGAAGGGCAGGAATAGGTTTAACTTCAACAAAGGTACAGTAGACACTATTGGGAAAGTAAAACTTTGAAATGGCAGTTCAGACTTGAAGAATATATTGAATTAGATATGCTGTAAGCCTTGATTCATGATCTCTGCATAATAGCATTGCTATGTATATTACCTGGGTGTCTTAGTAGACTAGAGAAATGGGCTGTTTAAGAGATTAAGTTCACAGAATCAGTGCCTTTGCTGATGAAAAATGAGAGGGCAAGAGCCAGGTGACCTCACTTCCTGTGCATATTCTTACCACTTCCTGTGGGGCCGTGACCTCTCTGAGCACTGATTTCTTCATCTGCAAAATAAAGATTATTTTAGAATGGGATTTTTATGAGTATTAAGTGAAATTTTATCAAGCACAGAGCTTCGCTTATCATAGTAAATGAAAGTTCAACAAATGAGAACTGTCTATTCTACCATTGTAAGATTATTATTAAAATTCCTGATTCTGTAATTCTGTCCCTTAGTACTTCCTTTCCTCATTCATTTATTCATGCAGTTCTTTTTTAGCTGATTCTTATTTCTTGTCAGTTTCGGAGTCACGATGGTCATCTTTTATAAGACATACTGTCATTTCAAAGCACTGGCTAAGTACAACTAAGACTGACAACTATGAATAATTCCACAGAGCCTCTAAAATATTCTGGCATTTCACTCCAACTCAGATATGCCACTAAGTTCTTCTCTCTTGTTTTGTGCCTCTCAATTCTCAGCAGATTTCAGATATTATTGCGGAAGGTGAACATCATCTTCCTCTGAAAACTAATCCAGAAAGAACCAATGTGGAGTAATTGGGCTTCATGAGAGCATCACTTGTCAAGTCTAAAAACATATGGAGAGATAATCACATTGTATTTTTTCTTTCTTACACATTTTCAGCACGTTCATGTCCACGTTCTTCCCAGAAAGGCTGGAGACTTTCGCAGGAATGACAGCATCTATGAAGAGGTAAGTCTGCCCTTTCTGATCACAGTGGCTGTCATCTTGATGCAATCAACCTGGTGAACCAGATGTCACTCTAGATATGGTCTTAAATTGGTTTCTACCTAGTAGAACTTGGGAAGTGGAAGTAGAGGCCTAGGAACCAACAATGGCCATAATAGAAACCCCAGATAAGTTAATTATAATTATTTCCTTCTTTCAAATGAAACCCAGCAGCCACCAAGTGTCCTTGTGGTGTCTGCCCTCTCATTTACCAGAACATTATATATTTGTGTGGAGATAATATTCCAGAATCTCCAGAGAAGAAAATATGCAGTACCATCAATAGAGAGAAAGAAGAATGACATAGGATTTTTTAATTCAAATCCTATGTTTAATTTTGACACTCTTTGAAACTCAACTGGTCTCCCTAATAGCATTTACTCAAAGTTGATCTTAGAATTATCATGAGCAGAAACTGGTTTAGATAATATGAGTATACTCCATGTATTATAAACATTTTAGCAGTTAACTGATTTCTGGACACTCCTATTCAAAAATATAAGTGTGAAATCAGTACAAACACGAATATGAGCAGTAGCCAGGTGATTTGCTTCTAGGATCTTGTCTGCATGAGAACCTTCAGGTTCATCTGTCCTGTGTGGAACATACAGCCTGAGATGGGTGAGGTTGTAATTCCAGTTTACATACTCACTCTAGCCAGGGAAACCATGTTCCTATATGTTAGAGCTATGGCACTAGCACCATAGAATGCTTGACTGAAAAGGACTTTGAGGCCATTTCTGGATGTAGCAAGGAAAAGGGCTGTGATTGATAAGCAATGTCAACCATGGGTGTCAGATAGGAGAGAGTTTCCATATTAGCCATCCATTTATAATCCTGTTGTAACCTCTTAGATTGATTTTAAAAATTCATTTTTATTTTGGTTGCTTACATTGATTTTTTTTAATGCGTTTTTAAAATTATGTTTTTTTATCATTCGGCTCTACCGGGTAAATCTATCTGATTATCTTTACTTGGTCTTCATGGGTGATGTAGAGTCTGTGCTTTTCTTTGCTTGTCTATAGGATTTCTTTATAGTAACTAGACATGAAAATGGCTACCCAAACCTTGGAAATAAAGAAACAATACATCAGCACTTAATAATGAATGGGTAATTCGTTTTTCTAGGATTTATCGGATCATTTGAGTTGATTGGTTATTATGTCTTTAGGATATATCTTATTATATCATGTTTCCTACGTTTTTCAAGAGTCACAATGGACCTCTGTAGAATGAAATTGACTTAGATACTAGCTTTTAAGTGATGGTTTGTAAACCAGTTGCTGAAAATCTCAGTTCCCAAGAGGTTCCTTCCCTAGAGATTCTGACTCAATAGATGGCAAAGGAACTCAGTCATTATGTAAGAAAATCCCCAGGAGATTTTGGTTCATGTCTAGGTATAGGAATAGGCTCTCTGCCAAATCTGGGCTTTCCAAAGTAATTCTATAATACTATCATTCAAACTAATTTTCATTGGATATGGAGTGCAATTTGGGGGTTGGTAAGGATTTAGCCCCATATTGGAGGAAAGCCAGAATTATGGAGTAATTATAAGAGATGCATTAAAAATACAAGTATGGATCTTATTAACATAACTGAGGTTAATAAATTGTTGCCAAGTACAGGCTACTTTAATGAATAAATTAGCACATGATTTATATACAAGTGAATGCTGCTAAAGTGGTATTAAAAGTGCTTGAAAACACTGTTTTCTTAGGCTGAACAGTCACCTTGAAATCTTGTTTGTGTTCCAAAAAATGCTAGTGAGAGAATCTGCACAGATATATTTCCACTCGGTTCAAGATATGATGCCCAATACTATGGCTGGTGTGTGCCCTTTCTCTCCTCTTGTTCTTTTGCCCTGTGTACATGCTTTGAGATCATCTCTAGCACCGCAGATTAAGCAACACATGTTCCTACTTTCCACCTATTTGGAAGAGCATCACAGGAGAAGTAATTGCCATAAGTTTTTTTTTTTTTTTTTTCAATCTCTGGGTAAGTGGACATGTGTTACAGACATTATCCACTAAGGGAGATTGTGGTATAGAACTATAGAGAGGTTGGACTCAGAAAGAAGCAGAATCAAGCCCAAATCCAATGCCACCTACTTACTGAATGATATTGGGTTAGTCATTTCACCTTTGTGTTCTAATTCTCCTGACTTTAAAATGGAAATAATAGTGTATTCCAAAAGATCATCACATGACATATGTGAATTATGTACCTGAAATCTTATTTCAGAGCTTTGTACATATATACTAAGCATATGCTATTAGGTAGCTATTTCTCATCTAATTATAATGATTAATTTAGTTTTTGAAAAAGTGGTGATGGAGGGCAAATGGATAAGTCGGATTCAAAGCCAGCTCACTGGGTGTTTCTGTACAGCACTCTCTCCAAGGCCCATCCTGGCCCATCCTTCCAATTTTTTCTCTGCCTCTAACCACTTATTTTAAATTTCATTTTCATCTTCATACAAAAATGTTTCTGTAGTTTGAGTACATAATAAGGTGATGTCTAGAAAGAGGAATGAGAACATCGAGGCATTGCTCAGGCATTGTTGGTGCAGGATGAAATGTACATGAGGCCAAATAATCTTAATCAGAAATGATAGAGTGATGAGGAATGGCATTCTTTATACTGATGAAATCCCTTGCTGAAGATCCTGTGTGTCCTCACAACATACAACAGACAGACTGTCTTGGATGAGAAGGGACAGGGACAACAGGTGACTGAACTCAGAAAATCTACTTGTATCCCTACCACTGCAGACACAGAAAATGTCAGGTAGAAAGGTCACATTCTCTTTGAGCACTCTTTTAAGAAGAGTAGTGACAAACTGGAGAAGAGTCACGGAAAGGTGTTTGAGGTGGCAGGTTCTAGAAACAGACTGAGGAATAGTTGATGGTAAATATGTTTAGACTAGAGAAAGGACAACTTGTAGAGGGAGAGGAGTGACAGAGTCAATTTCTAAATATCTGAAGGGCTGGCAGGTGGCAATGTTATTAATAAGTTCTGTGTGTTTCTCAAGAGCAGATCTGGGACTATAAAACTACAAAGAGGCAAGTATCAGCTCCACATAACAAGAGGTCAAATGGAGAAAAACTTCAAAATGGTCACAGTGCCTTTCGTGGGAGTGAGCTTCCTGTCCTGGTGCTCATTCAGACATAGAGTGGACTGTCATGATGTATGCATTTTGGTAATTGCTTGGACAACACGGTTCTGCAGATCCTGTCTTTACAAATCTGGTCCACTTGATCATTATCTTCATTTTTAATTTATGAGAGCTCTGTAACAAATAGTGATTTTTTTTTTTGTCATCAGTATTATAGCCTTTGGGTTACTGCCTGACAAAACATATTCTTTTTATTTATTTCATGGAAATACAAGGCAGAACTCTTTTTTTTTTATAAGACCCCTCATTCTCAGCCTACTTCATGCTTTTATTCCAGCTCATTGGTGCATATTGATACTCAGTGGATTTTGCTTGCCTTTTCATATAGATGTTGTTATTGCTTGCAAAGTATTTTTAATGGTGTGCTGTATTTTTGTCTGCAAATATTTTTAATGACTATTAACGTCATTTGGCATGTCACTAATTCTGGGGTCACTGTAGTTTCTACAGTTCTTTTATCTGGGTTTGTGTATCTCATTTAGGATACTTGCCTGTCTCCTGAAGTTGGCTCAGTTTCAGATCTCTACCTACGTCTTAGGCTCGCACCTTCTCTCATGCACTCAAATGTTACTGTGCTGCGGAACCCTCTGTCTGGTCTGGTGTGTATGCCATTTATTTTTATCTTTTATTTCACCTCCTTGCTTACTTATTTACTGTCCTGTGGCCCTGGGTAAGTTCTTTAATTCAGGGGTATATGTCCACCTCCCCTGTTTCTTTACATCTGGTTCTCTCTCATTGCTTACTTTTGTTAAATATATCATTTTTGTTCCTTTCTCATGACCTTTGAATGTGTCATTATCTTTGCTCATAATTTCTGCCATCTTCTCCTTTCCTTTGTGTAGCTTCATGGCTTTATCCAAATCTCAGCTCAAAGTCACCTCCTCAATGAATCTCTTTCACTGTTCTCCAACTATAACAACCAGCTATTCCTCTGCCCCTGTCTCAGTAACTCGAGCATGTCGCCATGACTTTTTCTTTCTCAGCACCACACTTGAAATAATTTATTATTTTATATTCACCCCCCCAACTACATTGTAAAGCCTTGAGAGCAGGAACCTAATCTGGCATAGAGTGGCTCATAAATGAGTATTTATTAAAGAAGTGACCACATGAAAGAACAAGGACTCAGACTAGAAACCTTGGAATTCTCTACTAGTTCCTAACATAATTTAAGAGGAGAGTATATCTTGCTTTCAGAGGGGAGGATTCATTAACTCATCACTATACTGGGTGAGCCCCTGACATGGTGCTATCAGCAATCTGAGGTTAATTTAATGGGGCATTGATAGAACAGAATCCTTTGGTTGAAAATCAGCGTGCAGAAGACTGAAAGTTGTGACACACCAGAAAGGCTTAGGGAAGCAATCGTAAACGTTATCTGATTGCTAAGCAAGTCTGGTAGACACTTGTCAAAGATGATGAGTAACTTACCCCCTCAAAACATAGATTTGTCTGGTTGTAACAAAGACAGATGTAGGATTGGCTGAAAGTAGGCCCAAGAGCTTCTCTGCCTTCCATTCAACTTTGATTGCCATCTATGTGTTTATCATCACCCGCTGTTCCTCCGGCTTTGTTTCCTGGACTTGTCCACATGCATTTTGCTCCCTATTTTATCTACCCCATTTCAGAGTGCGTGCCTCTCTTCTCTCTCTAACCTGAGTTCAGACTCCATGTTTTCCAAAACAGTCTCTTCCAAAGCCCATTCTTTGTGGTTCATCATGCAGATCTTATTCATCTGTAGCCCCCAATCTCTTTCTGTGTCTATGTTTTCTAAGTTTCCATGAATTCT